GGCGCAGCTCAGGCTCCCTCGCCCTGCTAACCCTCACAGGAGAGCTCGCGGGCTGACCCCATGCTATCCAGGCTGTTCCCTCCGAAAGCTTACAGGAGCCTCCATTTTATCCCACTAATTTCTCTGACGTTACTGCACCTTTACGACGCGGTGGATACGCCGGTCTCCGCCGGCATCGGAAGCAGCTGTGCTCCCTTGTTTTAGTCAGTGACTTGTGCAACCCTGAGAGGTCAGTTTACCCAAAGCTACTACGACCGCTGCCCCTGTGAGTCCGCGGCAGGCTCGCCTTCCCACAGGTCAGCCCTGGAACACTCTCACCTCCCAGGGCGCCGACATGATCCCCAGGGAACCTATTTACTGTCCCTGATGCTACCTGAACAAAGAACAAAATTCAGACCAGAATTTTACATATTTTACATATGACATTTACATATGACATCATTTGATTGAAAAAAGTATACATTAATATTAACATAAAACCAATTACCCAAGTTACTCTTCCCGGTCACACTAGGATAACTTAAATGCAACTTGCCTCCTATAAGTGTTCAGCAAATTTAACATAGGTTTGTTTCTGCGCTCGCCCAGAAGTATCAGCAATGCTAAACATTACAGCTTCTACAATGAACACATCCTTTTTTAACACATTCTCTTAAATCCTGAGGGAATTTTTCATTCCTCTGAGCTCCGGGGTTTGAGAGGCTGGTGGTAGCATGTCTGTGTCCACTCTCAGTATCGCCGGACTCTGGACTCACACTTGATAAAGTTTTGCAACTGTCATCATTTTGATCATGATGCTTCCAGCGAGTGATGAAATCACTTTTCGGATCTTTGCCATAACATACCCTATACAATCATGGGAACCTGCCTTGCAGAGGTTCTCACGCCTTCAGAACCAGGGAGCGCGGGCAGACGTGCCGGCACACGCCCGCTGACTTATCTAGCTGGCCCAGGTTGGCGGGAATCACTTCCTGACAGGCGGAGGAAATCGTGCTTTTATAGCCCAGAGCATACCGAACCCCCAGGGCATGGGCTGAACTCATAAAGGGTTATTTCACGTTTTTCCCTTTAATAAGAGGGGAAGTTTGGAAAGACACAAAGCTATGCTTCCAAGTCTAACATGCTGGGCTCTGACACTGCCTTGCAGCCGCTCATGAGAGAGGAGGACAGGGGCAGGGTGAGCCGATGAACAGCCCCTTCCCAGGGCTCTGGGAAACCCCCTTGCCAGTCACGGCCATAGGGCAGCCAAAAACTCTCGTTTCTCACCCAAAATATGTGCCTCACCGCTACTGTTCTGCAGACACGCCTCACAAGAGAAGGGCCACAGACCCTGGCAGAAACTACCTCTTAATAAATACACATGTGTGGAAACAATGGATGACAAAGCAGTTGGGGGATGCGTCTTTGTGTTTTTAAGGAATAGGAATAAATGAGTAGAGAAACCAGTTTGCTGAGAATAAAATCAGACAGCTTTCTCAGAAGTATCCAAGTGAAAACCCAAACTCCACCTGCCCCCACCCCCTGCACACCACTGATGAGCTCATGGCAGTGCGTAGGGTGGCAAGGAAAGGCATTTCAGAGAAACTACGTTTTATTTTGTGAAAACCAGTCTCTTCAATTTCCCATACGTATTTCTTTATTTTTGAAAGGCTGTTTTCCAGCCTTGCCTAACCACCCTATTTCTAGAAGGTGATGCTTTACCCACGAAATCCCACAAGACTCAGGACTGACCTCATCTGCCTATTCCCTAAAGCAAAACTACATCTGAGAAGAGTTTTGTTAAATCACTTCCTTTTAATTTTATTTTTAAGCTGCTTGAAAACATCAAGAAGCTGAAGCTCTTGAGTGAAAGCCGGGCCGACTCCTCCCGTTGCCCTGCAGCCTCCCCACCCACACGCTCGCTCCCAGACAGTCACTCCACGGGCCGCACCGCTGGGCCCATGCGAGATCCTCCCAGACCTCACGTCTTTGTTCTCGGTTTCGGGTTATGAGGCAGGGAGAGCGCCCCAGGGGTGTGCAGAGCAGCCTCTCAAGGAAGCAGGCTGAGATCTCTGGTAAGCCTGGGAGGGGGGCAGGGATCAGGGAGCGGGCCCTGGGGTTAGGCAGAGAAGGCCAGAGACACCGCAGCCAGGACTTTGCCAGAGAAGGCCCAGGGCCTGCTTCCACAGGGTGAAGGCTCGGACGGCGTCCTGCCACGACCCAACCATCTCTCAGACAAGCACCCCCACTCGGAGGGAAGGCCGGGAAAGGCAGGCAGGCGCCCTGGGCGGAACATGCTCTCAGCTGTCCACACACATCTGCGTTTGCTGGCCCAGCAGGCGCGGGGTGAGCGCGAGAACTTACTCCACAGTGCTCGCGGGGCGGGCGGTGGAAACCGCCAGGAAGAACGTTCGGTCCCTCGCAGGGCTCAGAAACTCACTGTGATAGCATCACAAGATCATCTGAGTCAACATAAACACAGCACTCACCTCTGTACTTGAGATAGCGTAAATGCTGCTCACCGAGGAAGTTTGATTTTGGAAGCAGCAGGGTGGGACTGCGTATTTACATATTCTTTTCTAAGTCCCCACGCACAGCACACAACGTGATTAAATAGGACAGGACAGTCAAGGAGCTCTGACTCCGTGTCACACCCAGACTTCGTGGCTCTAAGTAAGCAATGTGGGTGTCCCGCACAGGCCAGGCCCCTGTGTCACGGTCAGTGCAGTCAGACCATCACTGCAGACTCCATGGACATGGGTCGGGGGTGGGGGGGTCCCAACAGTCCCTTGGCCTCAGGCTACAACCTTCCTGGCATCAGAGGCCTCAGGTCACAGGATAAAGATTCCCAAGGGGTCTACTCAAGAGAACTACAGGCGTTCTCAGAGCTGACGCGGACACACCACACTCTTCACGGCCCCAAGAGAACACTTTCAGGTCAGACGTGAGAAAACGGGAACACCATAGGGGCTGGTGGCCAGGGTACAAGCAGATGCACTTGGTCTGCGCCTCATCCTCGCCAGGACGAGGGTGGGACCCATCCGTACCTCCAGGCGAGCATTATGAAGCCGGGCCAATTCCTCCCCAACCCACAAGGCCCGTGTCCTGTCGCTAAGGCTGTGCTCTTCTGTTGCAGCGCAGGGCTCCAGCGAGCAAGACGTCCCTGGTCGGACGCTCAGCACGGGCCGCGGTCTACAGAGAAGCCGGGGAGAGCAAGCGAAGGAGAAGCGGCCCCCGCAGATCTTAATTAGACAGGAGCCAGCAGGGTTCGGACCGGCGAGAGCAGCAGTGCCCACACTGCGAGAAAGAACATGAGTCTTCTCAAAGAGCGGAAACCAAAAAAGCCACACTACATCCCCAGGCCTCCAGGAAAGCCCTTCAAGTACAAGTGTTTCCAGTGTCCTTTCACTTGCAATGAGAAGTCACACCTTTTCAACCACATGAAGTACGGTCTCTGCAAGAACTCCATCACTCTGGTGTCAGAGCAGGACCGCGTCCCTAAGTGCCCCAAATCCAACTCCCTGGACCCCAAGCAAGCGAACCAGCCAGACGCGGCCGCAAAGCCCTCCTCCGCCCAGCCTGTCGCGAGCGGGCTCCCACACTTCGATGCCAAGCTCCAGCAAAGCCTTGCCAAGGACGACGTGAAGGAAAACCTGGACCTGCACGCACGTGGGCCCCAAAGGTGCCCAGGACAGAAGCCTGCTCTCCACGAGGAAGCAGCTCCCCTGAGTCCAGCTCCAGAGGCCGGCAGGGGCACCCAGCCCGTTCTGGAAGGCATCGCGCGGCCCTCGGCGTTTGTGCCGGTGGGAGAGCACAGACTGAAAGGGCCAGAACGCACGGGGGCTCCTGAGCTGCTGGCACTGCCCAACCCCACGGCCAAAGCCACCTCCTTCCACACCAAGTCTGCATTCCATGCTCCCGGCTACCCGTGGAAAGCCGGCTCACCTTTCCTCCCACCTGAGTTCACACACAAAATCCCTTCTACAAAGGGGTTTGGTGCCATTTCCCCTTACATGCAGCCCGGGGTCCCAGAGTACTCACCACACTTTTACACAGAGCACGGACTGGCCACCATCTACTCACCCTACCTACTCGCCGGGAGCTCACCCGAATGCGAGGCCCCCCTGCTCTCCGTCTACGGGGCCCAAGACCAGAGGCACCTGCTGCCTCCCCCGGGACCAGTCCCGAAGCACTTGAACCCCCCCTCGGCATATGACCATTACAGGTTCTTTCAGCAATATCATTCCAACCTGCCAATTCCTTATGGGTTTTACAGACCAGAGTCTGCATTCTCCTCCTACGGTCTCAGACTCCCACCCGTCGCGGGTATTTCCAGAGATCAAAGCTCTCACCTACTGGAAGAAGCCGCCCTGCTCTACCCAGCCTTGAGTCCATCCAAGTCAAGTCCTTCCAGCACCCACAAAAAACACACCGAGTTTGAGAAGGACAGCCCAACTCCTGAGGCTAAAGATTCCTCCAAAGACGGGCAAAGGGACACAGAGGGAACCAAAATGAGCCCTCGAGCAGGCAGCGCAGCCACAGGCTCCCCAGGAAGGCCGAGTCCCACCAACTTCACACAGACAAGTCAGCCGTGTGCAGAGCTGAGCAGCCTCTCAGACAAGCCAACCTCCAGCGCCCTGGGAAGGCTTCATCAGCCTGAACACAGCCTCACAGCCTTCAAGCCCGTCAAGAAAAGCACAGAGTGCCCACATTCCCAAGCTCTGGAAAACAGAGACGAGTCTGCAAAAAGGTAAGAAAATTCCATTTTCAAAATCTCCAAAGCATGTCTCTGTTGTGCTCAATTAGCCAACCTCATACATGCTAATAAAATGCTTTGGACAGTACGGCTTTTCTAAGCAAGGTTCCTACTAAGGCCTCTCTTTGCCTCTTCCAGCCTTGACGCCATGAACGGAGATGCCCCAGCTGAGACGGGAAGTGCCTCTCGTTGTCCGGAGGCCACACCTTCCAGCCCAGAGGACAGCTCCCGGACAGCTCCGCTGAACCTCTCCAAGAAACCCGAGGCTAGAGCGGCCACGCGCAGCCCGGTGTACAAGGAATATGCGGAGCTGCAGGACATGCCCCTGAACCTCTCGGTGAAGGACCCCTGCAACGTCCTGACCCGGCGACCTTCCCTCCACAGCCCACCGCGACAGGCAGAACCTGCCACCACAGCTGCTCACAACACAGAGATGGGAAGTTCCGAAGATGGGCCAGACCACACCCTGACAGACCCAACTGGCCTGGACGCTGCTGAGGGGCCATCCACAGCCCCTGCTGTGAAGGCCCAGGACACGAGAGCAGTGGACAGCAGTGACGAGCAGAAGCAGACAGCGGCCGTGGCCCTCTGCCAACTGGCGGCCTACAGCCCGGGGAATGTCCGGGTGAGCGACGGGGAGCCCACAGCCCCGGAGTCCACCTGCCAACAAGACGCGCCCACTCTCAGCACCACGGAGAGCCAGGAGGCTCAGTGTGACCTCAGACCCAGAGGGCAAAAGCGGACAAGTCCGAGGGAGGCTGGGAAGTCGCAGCAAGGAACTAAGAAGACGAAGCAGAGCGACACAGCCAGAGTGTTCACTCTTCGGAAAAGAACACGGGTGTCTTAGGGCCCAGCTCTCGCGGGGAGCAGATGTGACTTCCAAAGGAGGTCACGGCAGCAGCCAATCTGGTACCTTTGCTCTATCTGGTCAATTCTGACAACACAGTTTCTTTTTTCTTCTAAGAAAGAAAGAAAGAAAGAAAACCATGAACTTCAGTTCAGTTTCTGTAAATATTAAGCATAAATATTCAAAAGTGTTTCTACTTTTGGCTGTAAAAATATTTAAATGACTCATACTCTTAAGACTGAGGAGTTAAACACTGCCTTTTGTTTTTGTAAAATGTCAACTGAATACACAGACTAAAAGACAGCTTTTAGGTGTATGCCATCTTATAGGAAAGCTTTTAAAAATACTTTTCTTATACGTACCTTAGCACTAAAACAAACTGCTTTAACTGCTCTGCTATCAAATCTACTGTGTGTTTTCAAGTAAGTAACAATTACTGGAAAAAAAAAAAACACGCCAGGAGAAAACATTTCCAGCACTGTCATTAAAGTGCCCTGTGTAAAAACTCTGTGATTTGTTGTACGTGAATAACACAAACAACGAGGGGCTATTTATACACATAATTTATTTCCAGCGGGAAAAAGAGGCTGCTGGTGCAGCTACTGCATGTTCTCCTTCCTCATGATGCTACAGGAAATTTCCCAACTCATTCAGCCTCACATTCCACTTTCTACAATGATGTATATATTGCTAATTTCCAATAAACTCATAGGTGATTTTAAGAATACGTGAACCCTGTGTGATGCTTTAGTCTGCCGTAACAAACAAAGGCACTGAGAAAGGGAACAAGCTGAGGCAGCCGTCAAACAAAATGAGCCCCTGCCCGTGCGTGTGAGTACGCTGCGTGTGCGGTCCCCGACGGCAGCCACCAAGTCCGGGCACACGCACCCGCCTGGGCCTCCCCGGGCCTCAGTTCCCACAACTGCCCCCCTGAGAAAAGGCCGTCAGCACCGGCACTCCCCACCCCATGGGCCTTCACGGAACCCCTTCCTCCCACTTTTCAAGAGGGCCCCATCCTCCGACAGGTCACCTGAGGTACCTACAAAGGGCCGTTGCGCACGGCCGCGCGACGCTGAGACATGCCTTCAGAAAACCACACGCCATTAACCCGAAACATCTTCTGTTACGACACAAACCTGAGGAACATGCGCCCCCTTCACTAGCATCCCAGGGCTCTTGCATTTTCATACACGGAACAAAAGTAGGGTACACCTGCTTTCCAGCAAGTCAACACCCTGCAGGAAGCAAAACCGCGCGTGAGAGGAAGCCTGGCGCCCCGCAGACAAGCTCTCGCCCTGTGCTTCACACAAACGAGCACCTTCCGTGTCAAGGGCCCAAAGATTCTGAGACCGCTGTGTTTTACAGTTCACCCAAACGTGTCAGGCGTCATCTTAAGTGATAAGAAGAGGAACCACACAGTTAACGACCGTCCAACCCTCCTGCAACAGTGCCTCACGGGAGGGGATGCACACCCCAGGGCTCTCGGGGAAGGCAGAGGCCACTCCGACCTGCAGATTTGCACTGTGGAGCTCTGTGTGCCCGCAGCATCACGACTGAGCCCTCCTCATGTAATTCCCCCACAGGCCACATATCACAGTCACGGAGACCCCAGCAGGCCCTCCAGATCTCTCTATAAAAGCACAATGGAGGGCGCCTGGGTGGCTCAGTTGCTTAACCATCAGACTCTTGGTTTCGGCTCAGGCCATCACCTCAGGGTCATGAGATCAGCCCTGGGCCAGGCTCCCCACTTAGTGGGGAGTCTGAGATTCTCTCTCTCCTGCTCTCTCTGCCGCGCCCCCCACCCCTTCTCCTCTCTCTCTCTAAATAGTAATTTAAAATGTCCAATGGAATTCTAGATCTTTGTAACAAAACAAAACAAACAAACAAACAAAAAAAAAGTCTTGCTGATTTTTTAACTATAGTACCTTTCTGTATTCTCTTATGACCCAACTTAGAAGTTCTAAGTTTTTAATCTTAATATATAAAAAGCAATAAACCCTCAAAAAGTTAAAAATACAATTATTTCCCTATGACCCAGCAATTCCATTCCTATCTATACACCCCAAAGAAGGAAAAACAAAAACTCACCAGGTGTGTACACCAACATTCACAACAATATTATTCACAAGTCAAAAGACAAAAGCAACACAAGCACCACTGACAGATGAACAGACAGACAAAATGTGGACTACAACGGACTATTACTCCCCATACAAAGAAATAAAGTTCCGGGGCGCCTGGGTGGCTCAGATGGTTAAGCATCTGCCTTCAGCTCAGGTCATGATCCCAGGGTCGTGGGATCAAGCCCCACATCAGGCTCTCTGCTCAGCAGGAAGCCTGCTTCTCCCTCTCCCTCTCCCTCTCCTGATGCTTGTGTTCCCTCTCTCACTGTGTCTCTCTCTCTGTCATATAAATAAATAAAATTTAAAAAAAAAAAGGGAGAGAGAAATAAAGTTCTGACACATGCTAGAGCATGAATTAACCCTGAAGACCTCTTGCTCGGGAAACAAGCCAGACACAGAAGGACAAATCTGGTACAACTGCACCTGTGTGGGCACCTACAACAGGCAAACTCAGAGAGGCAGACAGAGGACTGGTTCCCAGGGGCTGCAGGGGAGGGGAGCTTAATGGGGACACGGTTTCTGCTGAGGATGATGAAGTTTTCAGAAAGAGTGACAATGGTTGTAAAAAGTGTAAATCTGGTCAATACCACTGAATGGTACACTTAAATATAGTCAGCAAGGCGGATGTTGTTACATACATCCTATAATGTTTTTTAAAAATAATACACCAAAACCATTAAATCATGTATCTTCAATAGGTGAACTGCATGTCAGATAAACTGTACCTCAGTAAAGCTAAAGGGGCTCTTGAATCCGCGCTGAAGAGGAAACCAAAGTGCTGACAACAAGCCCTCGGAAGAGCCTTCCCGGTGGCCCGTGGCGGTCTGCCCCCACCACGAGCTCTAACCTTCACCACAGTGCCACACTCCGTAGGGAAAGAGGGCATGTGGGGGTGTGAAATGAAGCACACACACATTAATCCAGGAGAAAAGCACTTTAATTCAGAAGGGCAGGACAACTACTTCACCCAATAAGTCAAAGAGTTCTCATGGTATCCACTTCTTTTTTTTTTTTTTTTTTAAGCAATCTCTATACCCAATGTGAGCCTCGAACTCACAAACCCAAGATCAAGAGTTGCACGTTCTTCTGACTAAGACACCTGGGCACCCCTGATTCACTTTTCTTATAGACTAGAGTGTCCAACAGTTGAAAATGCACAAAATTTAAAAATCGGTGAGGCATGTGGTCCTCAGAACAGACGAGTGCCAGGACCGTGTCAGGAGCACTGGAGAATACAACCCCTCCCTGGGCCCAGCTGCTGCCTTGGGAACTGAGGTACCCAGGCTTGTGGGGAGGGACAAGGTCAGGCGAGGTCGGTGCTCTGCATCCACGAACTGCAGTCACAGCCAGGCCCCACCTACCGAAGCAGGTTGACTCTGGGCCCCACGGTGCCTCTGCCAGGGAGAAAGTGCAGCAGTGCCACTAGCACAGCCCCTTCTGGGACCACAGGACCACCTCCGTGGCTGACTCTGGCCTGACAACCCCAACCACACCCCCACCCCACAGCACTTGGGCCTGATAATAGCTCTGCCAGCCTTCCTGTTTTCTCTCATGGGCACTTCCCCAATAAGAAGCTCAGATGCCCAGACTAATGCTGGGGCGCTGGTCAAATGCTAGTTTTTGGATGAAGTCACACAATATAGCAAAGTAGGGAACTCCACAGATTGGTCCTTCTACCAAAACAACCATTAAGCCAGCAAAAATGACAGACTCGACTTGTTCAGAACTCTGAAATCTCGTCAAAAACTTACAGAACCTTGGAGAGTGCTTAGTGAAGAAAGAACCTACAAAATTTCAGCCTTAAGTTAATCTGTTAGGTCACTGGCTGTCTGCAGACTTAATGGAACCAAGACTTCAGTGACCAGACACACCAAGGAATACCGTCAACACGAACAGACTGGAAGAAGTCACTACATGGACAACGATCACCTTCAATAAGCAACAGCAGCAAAGCCCCGGGGATGGGGGAGAACCTGATTTCCAGAGTTACCACATCAGAGTATTCAAAATGTCCAGTTTCCAACAAAAACAACAAAAAAACCACAAAGCATATAAACAGAAGAGTATACTTACATTTCAAAGGAGAAAAGAAAAGCAGAGAAATTGTCCCAGAGGAAGCCCAGACTTTGTACTAAAATCAAAGACTTAAAATCAACTCTCTCAGATATGCTCAAGAGCTAAAGGAAACAACAACAACAAAAAAAGTCCAAACAAGGTATGTCAATAAAAAGACAAACTATAAAAAGAAACCAACAGAAATTCTGAAACTGGAAAACACAGTAACAGAAAAGAAAACTTCAGGCAAGCTGTACAACAGCAGATCTGGGCAAGTGGAAGAAGAAACCAGTGAACCTGAAGACAGGGCAACTGGCATCATCCAGTCTAAGGAGCAAGGAGAGAAGAAAAAGGAATGTTAGCCCTGGTCACCTCCGGAGCCTACACCAAAAAAGATCACTGTTCCCCAGGCCTGGCACCGTCCTTCCCAGGCAGGAGACAGCTCAGCTCCCTGAGGCCCCACCAGGCACAGCAAGGGCCTACAAGACAGTCAGCACACATGGAAGATGCCGCCAGTCCGGAGGCAGCCAGCCGGCCAGAGGAAGACCACATGTTACGTCTTCCAGATTTTCAGCAACAGCTTGACACTTCTCATGCATGACGCCAACACCCACACCCTCCCACGCCAGCAGCTAGTGACCAGTGGCACCTCAACATCATAAGGTCTGATGGGCACATCCACGCCAGCCAGTCTCAGGCACAAAAGGCAGAGAAAAGGCTCTCTGTCCTTCAAGTTAAACTGGAGTTGGAACCACCCAGGCAAGGGTTTCACCTTGTCTGTGACACACTCACACGCGGAAGACTGGTGAATCCGACTTGATC